AATCTGACTAATTAAGAATGCGCAAATACCTGTGGCTTCGTAATTATTTAAAACTCCGGTAACCATGGAATTAGACAGACTGACAATAAGATAGACAAGGATAAAAAGTAAATTCATCAAGATTTGTTGACGAAATGTCAACCTGTTCTCATAACCTCGAATGTGGGTGTCTATAATAAACCCTACAACACCAAACATTTGAATGGTTAACTCCAAACAAGCTAGTGCCTGTGTAATCTCCTTATTATCCACTCTTATCAAACAGCTTCTCGTATTCAGTTAATTAACTCCTACTCCATTTATATATCCTTGTGCTGTGTGTGTATCGTACAAACGTGGTAGGAATGTAGCCCTTCCTCGGTATTTATTTGGTGCTTAGGAAAGTGTCAGTTATTGTGCTCTGAGTACCCCTGGATGGCCCTGATTCGGTCATGTCCAATACGTGTTCCTCTGTGCCTGGAACCCGAACATCTATCGTCCACTATCTTCCTGGAACCACTCTCCTCGCCCTTTGTTGGCGTGAGTTCTTTCAGCTTCTGCCATGTTACTGTAGCATTTCCCCTGAACTAATCGCATATCCGCATATTCGTGAAAAGAAATTCAAAGTAAGTCACAGTTTGACAAATTATTGTTATTATTGACAAGGGCTGTCCACCTGTAACTATTTGTTAATGACAAAAAACATTATTGCCGCTGTGCCTTTTCATCAAAAAATTGTAGAAGAGAACTTTTTTACATCAAAAATTTTCGTAATTTGAAGCAAAGATCGTAATTTTTTTTTTGAATGCTTAAGTGTTCCAATATGCTACCAATTAAACATGGAACCATTTCAAAATAATGCTTAATAATAAAGTTGAAATTCGATCTTCAACTGTTAATTTTCTAAAAATTTTCGAAAATAAGTTTTTCTATATTTTTCTCGTACTCCCCAAGGGAGCCTCTATCACCCCTTAAAAGGAATGACGCCAATTTTGAATCAACGTGTATATAGTGTTATATATAACATTCGTCTCTGAAATAGTGTTCCTAAACCCCAAATATATTAAGAAAAATAATACTATCTACATATACATATATTTTAGAATTACCACTCATATTTCACAATCGGGCATGTGTAACGAGATGTTCTTTTAAACTTTGGAAATCACTGAAACCAGTCTCGCATGTATTACATGCGTAAGTGTTGTCGCCGTTGTGACTTTGCATATGAATAACAAAGTTTGTCTCGTGTCGAAATGCTTTTTCACATATGTCGCACACAAATGGCTTGGCTCTGTCGGTATGCGATCGCATATGTAATTGTAGTGCTCTATGTGTTGCAAATACGTCTGAGCACTTTCCACAATGCAACATATGTTTTTCTGAAAGTATTGAAAGGTACCTGTTAGATAGAATGCTCATAAACATGTAATTTTTGTTATAAAGTAGTTTAATCTTGGCAAAATATGTACTATACACGCCGATACCAAATTTTTAATTTCAAACATTCGGATTCCAAAACTTTCAAATTGAAAAGCGTCAGTTCATACATAATATAGCGTCCAAAAGCGCGACAACCAGCATCGCAAAGCGAAAACTCGTTGATCGCAAGAGCAAATACAATTTTCTTTCAGTATCAAGTTCAGGGGAATAAGCGACACTTATGGTAAGGGCGGTATGTTAAGTCGATCTTTTATGATGCGCCGGCCTCTCCACGTTCGCTGGAGGCAATTTTCGTTGCTCAGCCGATCGGTTGGGCGTCTGATGCACACGCATTTTAATGTTGTTGGGCGATGCGGTGGGAATTTGTCGGAGATGAGTGTAGGCATCATACGAACGATCGCCAAAGTTATTTTGTGAGCGAAAGTTCTCAACTTCTCGTGCTTTTTATATTATTTTTGTTTTAAATATATAGATAACGATCTCGATATATTGTACAGTGTTAATCGGGATAATTCAGACAGAATTATATTTGAACATGCCACAAAGGTTCGTAAAGAAAACAGCAAGATTTGTGATATGCAATTCAAATAATAATTGTGTTATTTTCAGGTATATTCGATATGGAAAATACCTAAGAGAAAATTACTGAAGCCGATTTCATAAATCGCTTTCGTTTCTCACAGGAAATTGTGCAAAATGTTTTGTTGACATTAACCACTCACCAAGAACAGAACAAATCACAAATCGAGGCCTTGATACAGGCGTAAGATTTAAGAAGTGAAACCATTTTAAGTCGAAAATAAAGCTGTCTGGTGTGGAAATAGCGTGCGTAGAATTACAGTCTTACAATATAATTCGTTTAAAACCTCCATTAATAAATTAAATATTCAAATGGATACACTAAGAATTGCACAAAGAAGGATCGAACGAGTATGCTGGAAATACGACTGCGAGATAGAAAAAGTAAGAAGTAAAAGTAATTGACACTGCTCAACAGGTGGCAAGACTGAAGGTGAAATGGGAGGGACATCTCATGAGAACGGAGGACAATAGATGGTCTAGGAAAGTGACCGAATGGCGACCAAGAGGATGCAGAAGACACCCCGGAAGACTAGGTGGAAGGCGATATCCAGAAAGTAGGGGGAGTGAAATGGAGGAGTAGAACAGCTGAGAGAACCGGATGAATGGAATGTCCATGGATTGTCCGAGACACGTTGAGAATGATGATGATAAATCAAATTGATCTTTGTACATTCACACATAAAGCAACAAGTATTTACGTAATGTTAATGAGAAAAACGCCACTTAGATGTGCGATCAAATACATTCTTGTGCAATTTCCGACTGCCGATAGGTCAGTTTTATGTGAGAATTATTGTACTATACAGTATCGCATTTTTTGCCATAAAGCTAGCTTGCCATAAGCATAAGATGACAAACCCAAAGTGTACTCTAATAAACGAATATGCATTACTAAAAACTGGAATACCATTTAAGACAAATCAGTAGAGTAAAAAACTTACTGTTGTGTGTATTGTTGATGTGCATAGCCAGTCGTTCCTTGCTAATATAGGACTTGCCACAAACAGAGCAGATGTGATTTTTGGGTCCATGCGATCTAAAATGATCGTTCAGCACGTCTTCAGATTGCAGCACTTTACTGCATACATTACACTGGTAGCCACCCTCTACCATCGTTACAGAAGGTCGATGAGGGTCATCTTGAATTGGCTGGTTTGGTACGCTTGTCGGTTCAAATAATTCAGTAGTGTGTGACATTTCGTGTTGCCGGAGAGTTTCTTTGGAAGTGTAAACTGCAAAGAATGTTTGTTCGAAGTTTGATTACTGTGCTTTTTTAATAAAAAAAAACATTTGCTCATTATTTTATCAATGTGCTCAACATTCACTGATAACCCAAACTAAAAATTATATAGGTACAGTATTCCCCAATATACGCTTATACAAGTTATTCTTCATAAAAAGTTCTAAAATCAGGGTCTAAAATCAAAAATGCATAGATGAGCAGGAAATTGTTTTTCGTTTGACCGCATCAAAAATATTCATAAGAAAACGATGACTCGTGTGTGGACTTTGTGGATGAAAACGAATATAAACTTAGCTCGATCTACCCTAAAAAGCATATATTTACATCTTTTGATTATTAAAAACGCGATTCTACTAAATGCAATAACAATTTTGTAATGTACATTCGATTTAAATATGAGATCTTTTTTGAAATAATTAGACATATTCTGTTTTACGTTAGGTACTTTTTCTGATGAGAATTTTTGATCCGCGAAAAACCTGCTTTATTTTTTAGCCTAATTCATGCTCATTATGGTGTATATGAATATACTTTTTGAATGATTAGAAAACCCTCCAAAACATTTAACCAGCTCTAGTATTAACATGTGGCAGCAGCGCAAACATCAAGTAAACAAATGATTGGCTGCTTCTGATCGATTTCGTACATTATATAACGCGGTTCGAACAAACTTGCGTTCAAACACAAAACCGTACAGTGGTTGATTGCAGTGATGCCAAATTGTTAGATAACAGATGATAAATTAGCTTTAACGAACAGAAACTGAATGTTCTATACAAAATCACTAATTTTGCATTCACAATGCCTTGTTCTTGACTGATTCAACTTCAGCAGTCACATAAGATTTGTAAACGACGAAAGCAATTTGATTTTGTTAACCGTTCCCCAGAGCATGGCTAAGTTCTTCCACCCTGATCTGATTTTTCATATTAAACGATATATTTCAATTCATAATTACGACTTGGAAAATATTTTTTATTTCTCCATTAGTTCTAAGAGAGCTGGATAGACAGCTTACCAATCTTTGAAATAAGAATTTATTGATCAGCATTTCTAAGCAGCGACCATAATTCAGTTGGAAAGCAAATAAAACCAAATCTTGGAAGCACATATCAGTAAACATTCGAACATTTGAACAAATATGCCTGCAATTATATCTAATTGAAACGAGAACTTACCTGTATCGCAGTATATACATTGATAAGATTTTTGGAGTTCAATATGGCGAATCGAGTGTTTTTCCAACAAAGCCTTAAAAGTAAAACACTTGCCACAAATGTTACAGTTATACGGCTTCTCGCCCGTATGAACTCTTATGTGAGCTACTAGTTGCTGAATTCGCTGAAATCGGATGCCACAACGTTCGCACGAAAACTTAAAATATTTTCTATGTTTGGCCTGCTTGTGATCCTGGATTTCTTGGCGACTGTTAAAAGTAGCCGTACAGATGTTACACGTAAAAGAGAAACCTAAATGAATAAAAACATTATTTAATATAAATAAATCTTAAAATAGTCAAAACTGAAGTTTTTATATGCACCGGGAAATGTTTTCTCAAGTATTACAAAGTCGCTTAGCAAATTATACAGGGTGAGATGTTTCGATATCTTGCGCCGGAATTATAGAAGCTGCAGCAGACGCAAATATCATTAAATGATCAATTAATTGCAGCTTCCAACATTCTACTTCAAGTCAATTTTATTGACAAGAAACTTATAATTCAAAGCATACATTAATGTCTTATTTTAATCGAATACATTCAATACATTAACTTCGAATTTTAACAACCTATTCAAAGGACTTCTTCTTACAACGCCTTCATTAAGATGATGCTTTTCAATTATAGTATTTATCCATAAACTGTGGTATTTACACCTTTTCGGAGATAATCTTTTTTTGCAATAAAAGTAGAAAGACATAATTATCAAAGATGTATAAATATTAATAAAATTTGCGATTATTTGTTACTATGGCTATGTTTTACGTTTCATGTGATGATTATTTCAAGATTGGATTGTGAGATGGTTCTTATTGAAAAAACAAGTTTTTGTCATACGCCAAAAAGTAACTTTTCAATTTAGTATGTTGTAGACAAAAATTCCATAAATGGATTGCGACGCACTTCCAGTGCGCCTTCTGCGCACTTAGCGGGTATTACGACCACATTTGAGATGCCTTGACGGCGCATTAAATTTGTAGTTACTGAAAATTGATGAACATTTAAAGACTTGCATGGACCAGACAAAGACTTGTATGGTTTGGTTCTTGTTTTTGCACATAGTCTTGCTCTCGCTTTTGATCTTGAAAGTTATGTCTTGGCCTTGCAAGTCTTGCTTTTAAATAATCTGGAAAATTGAACTAAATAAATTTAATAATAAAAGTTCAGCCCAGTAAAAAACAACCAATACAAAACTGCTATTTGAATTCCGATATTCTAATCAGTTTTCGAAAAGTCAAAAACAAAAATTATGTTGCTTATTTCAAAATGATTGATTTTTTTTGGCTCAAAAAAGTTGATTTCACTTAATGTTTGTTTTCTGAAGAAAATAATCATTTAACAGCATTCCTATGAATGGCAATTAGATGCTTTTTTTAAATCACACGTGTTCCAACTTTTCATACATACTCTATGATTTCTCCATCTATCTAAAAAGATACTCTGTAAATTTGTCTGCTTTTGAAACCATCGTTTGATACACAAAATACATTGCTACTATAGTGAACAATGAAGAGAAGTATTATATTTTTCATTTATACACCCAGGTTTTAAAACCAAACGCACATAGGACATAAATAATTTTCCTAGAACTTAGTTTTTATTGAAGAAAGCTGTCTGCCAGCTGTTTATTAAACTTAATGTGATACCGATAATTTAAGAAAAAAGTAATAGACCAATCAAATATTATCATATCATAATCATCGAAATTTGAAGTCTTGAGACTCTCCCAAGCCTCTTCAAAAGTCTTATTCTTGTTCTTAGCCTTGCTTTTTAACAGAACCAAAACCAGTCCCGCTAATCACTACCAGAAGAAAACTCAAAACTACAAATGTTTGCTTTAGATGCGCGTATTCGTACCTGCTGCAGCCTCCACTCAACGAACACTACTCACCCCGTATACGTATATAAAACACTACCTTTGGTTCCTTCTTTTGCAATTAATTTGTCTTCACATAATTGAAATTTTTGATCAGCCTGTATTTTCGTAATGTCACTTTTAATAGACTCGATTTCCTGCAAAATATCTGAGTCGTCGTTTAGAAGTGTTTCATCTGCCGCTTCATCCATATCGTCTTCATTAATCGTACGGTTGGCGTTCAGTTGATTATATTCAGACTCAACCTGAGTGTCTTCGGTCATAGACTCGTCATGACTTTGGCTGTTTTTCTGTTCCCGCAAACATATTTTCTTCAGAAGCCATTCGGAATTTTTACTTTTGTGCAGAAAGTGGTAGGTTTGGTACATTTGCCGAATACACCCACTGCACATTGTTGTAGGAAAGCGATCAGGCACGTCTAACTGAGAGAAAAACATTAATGATGTTACATAAACAACGAAAAACAATAGCGGAATTTCCCTGAAGGCGTTACTGGGGCTTACGAAAGAAATGTTTTCAAAAAATACACATTTGTTTCTCAAATATGTTATATTAGCGCTTGGACTTTGCAAATTAATCAATATTTGAAAGCAGTTCATGAATAATTTGGCAAAACTATCATTGGCACGTTACAGCGAATTCGTGATTAGTTTTCTAATGGTGCTTTTCATAACTCAAAATCTATAACAATGTCGACGAACACGCATGAAGTTTTGTAATTTCTGTAAAGTCTTAAAAACGCTAAACCACGACAGACCCAAAAAATGTTGGTATGATGTTAGCAAAGCAAAACAAGCAAACAAGACAGTGAAAGTGGCCACAACTGAACATCTGTTTACTGGAGACTCATCAGTACTCATCAGCAACGGTTAAGATCGTGTTTAGTTTGGTAGAAACAATCGCTAACACTAGGGATGCAAAGCTATTGGGGCGACATTTATATCGGTCTAACAACTTATTTTAGCAAATGTTGTTTAAACATCAGGCCGTGCATCAGATCGATTGTACTACATATAAAAAACAAGGCTTTCCGGTTTTGTACATRTGAACCTTGAACTTGCAAGCTTTACAACTTACAGAAATGCAAAATATTCGCGATGCATGTAAGAGATCATTGCTCTCAACGGATTAAAGCCACAAAATAACAAATTCCATTAGTAAAATGATGGTTTGTATACAGCGTGTCTGTTGTTCGAGCCAGACCAACGGTATCTCGGAAAGCATACGAGATACAAGGTCGCTTAAATTGGGGCAAACTTGAGCATTTTTCAGCTTTGTGAAATGCCGTTACAAGACCTGGAAAATTCTRACTACTTCTGAATATATTTGAAAAAAACCGACATATAGTATACAAAAAATTATTTTTTCAATTAGGCTCAGAAAAAAATAAAATCATCTTCAAATTTTGKTTTTTTYAACACCTTCAGAACTGGTCARAATTTTCCGAGCTTACAAAACAAAACAAAAAATACCAAAGCCCGGAAAACATTCCTAAATGTAAAACAAAAAATGTGCAACTTTGCCCCAAGTTAAGCCACCTCTTATCTCTTATGGTTTTAGAGATTCCAAGAGTGAGGCTGGTCAAGCAGGCACCCTGTATATTTTACTTGTTTCATAACAAGCAACATGTAAATTGATGTCAAATTTCTAACAAAGTTTATTGCGAATATTTCAGGTTTTTTCGAGAAATATTTTTCATTTGTACTCCATAAATACCTCTAAAGGAATGACGCCAATTTTGATCCAGCGTATTGTAAAATTGATTACATACAGGTTATTTTTATGTTGTTTAAGATATATTTAGTTTCATTTTAGATTTAAGTAAATAACTGTGGTAGTTTGATTGTGATTTACTCGTTTTTATAAGAAAATTTTCTTGTAATACGAATTGGGGACATGTGCAGTTTGTTGCATTAATTTTAATTTTAATGTAGTGGTTCTGCCATAAAAACCACTCGTTTCTGACGAAATTAAATTACGTAATAACATTTAGATTTTCTAAAGCTTTTCATGAGACAAATAAGTACATATACTTGAGTAACGGAGTCCAGTACATCATACAAATTAATAATCTGTACTGAAATTACCCAGATTTTTGAACAATTTCAAGCTACTTACATCCAAAGACGTATAACTAAGTATTATTTCCTTTAATTGTATGCCTTCCCAATTCACATCCTCAATTGAAAACAGTTCTGTATGCATAAGGCAAGTGCGGCAAATTAACCCGAAGGATTTGGATGTCAACACTTCGTATTTATCCATGTTATTAGCTCTTGCAGACTGTGAGTTCAGTAAACCTTTCCAAATGTTATATATTTGCTGTATACAGAAGTAATGCTGTAGATTAAAACTTGTTTAACCCAAAATTAAACAACTATAACCAAACCGCATACAAGCCACTTGACGTTTGCTACACACAAACCACAAAACACCTCTAACAAAAACTCCCAATCTGTCTGAATTTTCTCAATAAAACGCATATGGCAACATAGGAAAGCTTATTTTGAATAATTTAATTGCGTATTATTAAGTAAATTTGAAGCCGCGCTATGTAAAGTTACATAAAGAGTAAACATTATTTTCAATTCTGACTTAAAAAGATTGTTGATTGGCAACCAAACAAACATAAAACAATTTATTTAAATGTATATTACTTTAATTTATAGCAATATTCCACGACAGTTATTAAATATATATTGCAATATAATGCAATAATTTTTTTAATTTAAAACTGCACTTCAAAGTTTTGCTCTCACTTTCCACTTCAAAGAGTTTCAAATCTGGTCTGGAACACAGAAAATAAAGTAACCTCTGTGATCTGTGGAGTGGAAGATCAAATGAAGCGCGGATAACGCATAACCTCAACTACTACCGATCAAAATTAAAACAACCAGCGTACCGAGTGTGACGCAAACACGTGTACTAAAGAATAAATAAAATGGGTAGAAAGGCAAAATTTAACGAGGGTGAGATAGTGAAAAAAGGCCCTGGCAAGAAGGCGAAGAAGCAGAAGGATCCAGTTCTTCCAAAGAGTTTAAAAGGTAAATTTAACACGCATGCAGAGGCAACGTTGAGACTGCACTAAAGACAATTACTCATAATACATTATTATTAACAACATGAAATTGAGTAGCTCATAATAAAAGCGCTTGTGAGAAATTGCAATATACTGATGTCAGGAAACCTTACTCAACGCTTTTCAATTCTCCGAATATATTACCTGTCTACACAGTCTTAACCTGAAGTTATTTGATAAGTTTCTGACACACCTATAGTAATTTTCTGATCCAGCAAGATCGAAAGTTAATCACTCATCAAATATTGATGAGCGGTTGAACAGAAAAAAACTAAACCAAAGAAAAGTCACTATTTTCGAATAGTTTAAGGAATGTTGCACGGACCATTTAACTGCATTTGAGACACCGTTTATACTTAACGATCTCTTCACCCTATTTTTTTAAACATTCCAGACCTTTAATCATTTTTATAGCCATATTTATTTAATAAAATTAGTTTCAGTTTAATAAAATTAACTGACTTTAGAGCCCAATTGATACCTATTAAAAATAGATAACCAATTATAGTTATCATTCAAGTATTTTCTTTGCTTTAGCTCCTGAAGACTCTCTGAAGCAACTCAGCTCCAGGCAGAAAAAAAGGGTCAAGAAACGTGAAGAAAAGAAAGTTGAACTCTTGAAAAAGCGTCAAGAAAATAGAAAAAACAAAAAGAAAGAAAGCGATGAAAAGATTCCTCCACCTCCGCAACAAGATTCTAGCGAAGAAGACTTTAGTGAAGATGAAGAGGTAAATACAGTAGTCAGTTAAATCACAAGACTAAGTACAACTGTATTACGCATTGCTACATCTGTGTGGTGTATAGTAGTTAATAATTTTTAGTTTGGAAAACATATTCATAACGATATTATATAAAATTTTAAGAATAGCAGTGCTTTAACTCGAATTTACAGATGGCTTCAGAGGACGATAACGTGAAAGTAGACAATTTAAATGACTTGTCAGATTCAGAAGAAAACCACAGTGACGATTCTTACTCTGATGAAGATGACCTACTTCCAATTGAAAAGGAAAACATTAAACTCAAGAAGAAACAAGCTCTTGAGGAAAAGGAAGCAGAAGCAGAAATGCAGTTAAATATAGCCAATCAAGAATCCTTTAAATTTCCTACTAAAGAATCAGAGGAAGAGGTCAAATCTCTGCAGGTACGATGATTATTCGTTGGGCCATATATGTTTTATTATTTTGGATACAATTTCGTTTTCAGGATGTTCAGCAAAGAATCCGGGAAATAATCGCTGTTTTATCCGAATTCAGTAAGCTTCGTGATGCTGAACATTCCCGTAGTGAATACATCGATCTCCTAAAGGAAGATCTGTGCACTTATTACAGCTACAATGATTTTCTGATGGAAAAGTTGATGCAATTGTTCCCGCTGTCTGAGCTTTTGGAGTATCTTGAAGCCAGCGAAGTACAGCGTCCTTTGACCATTCGAACCAACAGTTTGAAAACGCGGCGCAGAGATCTGGCTCAGGCGTTAATTAATAGGGGTGTTAATTTAGATCCAATTGGGAAATGGAGCAAGGTTTGTGGTGGATTTTTAAAACTTCCTTTGTGTTTCAATTTATCAGTAACCACTGGATAATATTCCATTGATATTAATTTTTTTAGGTCGGCTTGGTGGTTTACTCATCTCAAGTTCCCGTGGGCGCTACTCCTGAATATTTGGGCGGTCACTATATTATTCAAGGAGCCTCGAGTTTCTTGCCAGTCATGGCTTTAGCTCCGCAAGAAAATGAGCGAATCCTTGACATGTCATCTGCACCAGGTGGTAAAGCTTCGCATATCGCAGCTCTGATGAAGAATACAGGTGTGCTATTCGCAAACGATTCCAACAAGTAAGTCATCAGTTATAAGAATTACAAATATAGTATGTAGTGGATAAGTTTTAATTGCCAGTTATCAACTACTTTTTTGGGAGAACTTTTGTAACTCAGATATTAGAGTAGATTAATGCTATAAGAAATCGGGAAAATAGCAAACGGGAATTTATATATGAAGTGATTCAATTATAAGTAAAGATCTTGAAGCCAATGGTATTATTCAAACTTGAATAACAATCAACAACAACCTTTACAAAAACTCTAGTTTTTGGGCACTATTACATGTTCGTAATTTTTTTGAACATTAATGTTTATTTTTTGATGATGAATTGCTTTTATTTGGTTTGTGGTTATCTCAAGCGATATACATATATTTCTAATGTTCAACAGAATAAACATAGTCTGAGTTTTCACACTTTTTTTCAGCACCCTGGAAAAGATTTATCCTGCATTCATAAAAACCAAAATTATTTTTTTGGTGTAAAATTTTCTGTTTAGGATCAAAAAATCAAATCAAACCAAAATATATGTAAAACTGAGCTTAATCATTTCAGTACCTTCGAAGTCTGTAATAAACTAAAAAACTAACATTCATTTGATTTATATTGTTATTAACTACAAAGAAATGATTTAAAGAACTGAAAATAAAATTGCAAACTTAAAACTCAATTCGTTCTATTACTTATATGTACTTAATAAATTATCGCATAACACATTTTTATACTTTTCTTTACTTTATAATACGACTATGTCCATGAATAAAGCCACTGTTTGATCATTTGTTGAACATGTACAGTATGAAATTCCATTCAAGAGCTTTTTTCTATTTTTTATTTAATTTTAGAGATCGTACTAAGGCAATAGTGGGCAATTTTCACCGGTTAGGCGTTGTCAACAGTGTAATCACTTGCATGGATGGCAGAAATATACCCAAGTTAATGAAAGTATTCTTTGATAGAGTGCTGTTAGATGCTCCTTGTACCGGTGAGTTTAATTTATGTACATGGTAGCTTCGAATAACGCAAAATTACATGAATGTCTGAGAGCGTAATGAACTGAATTAAAAGTATTTTTTGCCAAGACTAACTTTTGACCTAAAATAATAAAACTTTTATTGACTTGAAATTTAATGCAAAATATATCAGATCGACATGAATTTAATTATGAACCGAGTTTCAATAAAGGAACAACGTTTGCATTTATAGAAATTGCAATAATTTTAATCGGAAGGCAAATTGCCAGCTTCTCAAAGTTTGTAGAACTTTGGTGTAAAATGCGTTACAAGTTTTACTTTTATTTTTGTACATTTTTCTGTTAATTATGCCCTCCTTCAAATCATTCATCGGAATTCTAGATATTTTATTGGTTTAAGCTGAGGATAAATTTCTTATTTATGCTAATTTATTCTATTTAAAACATGTCTTTAATATTTAGGAACCGGAGTTGTGGCCAAAGACAATAGTGTCAAGACGAGTAAAAACGAAATTGATATCCAGAGGTGTTACAACCTACAAAGGCAGTTGTTGTTAGCTGCTATTGATTCCGTCAATGCAAAATCACCTACAGGAGGTAAGCTGTTTTTTATGTTGCCCCCAGAAGAGTTTAGCAATATTATAACTTGAGAATACTCTACATATTGTTGTCCATATTTTTATTTTAGGGTACATTGTCTACTCAACTTGCTCAGTTTTATTGGAAGAAAACGAATGGGTCATAGATTTCGCTTTGAAGAAGAGAAACGTTAAACTAGTAGATACCGGACTTGGATTCGGCACTGAAGGATTCACTAAATATCGGCATTTAAGGTATAACTGATTTCTTTTCATGCGGCGCACGGGTTGTCATTACTTCTTTTATCTATTTCAGGCTTCATCCAACGTTAAATTTAACGAGGAGATTCTATCCACATGAGCACAATATGGATGGATTTTTCGTAGCCAAGCTAAAGAAGTTCTCAAATGTTATTCCTACGAGTGACACTTCTGATATTGCAGAGGAAGTTGAAGAAGGTAAACATTTACATTTAAAAAATAAACGTTATTAGACGGAGCATAATAACAATTCTTTAATCCATTTTTTTTGATAATCCATATATGCGGTGTTTTAATTGATCGGAACTAGCGAGTTCTCTCTCTTCTATAGGCATATCGAGCTTTGTATAAGTATATAATTTTGGGAGAGCTAAGCTAAGGATAAGCAGAATAATGAAAATTATTTGAAAGTACTAAATGTTTTTTATATGCAAGTTTCAAATATAGTGCTGCAAAACGATTTAAAACCATTTTTGAACAACAAAACCATCAATACGAACTTTATTTCAACAAAATCAAGGCAAAACAAATAAACAAAATTGAGATACTTATAACAAAGCAATCTTTAGAATTGGATAGGTGAATACGTGGCGGACAAGAGTTGAATCAAGAATTTGTCAACAATGAGCATACCAAATCCGATAATCTATATTTGTTCACTTGGACCAAGGTTTTCCTTATATAAATATCATTATAAACCAGTTGATAACATCATAGCAAACGTTAATTATGTAACACACTAACAAATTTAAAAAATAAAAAAACGACAAAAAAGTGGATTTGAAACTAGAATAGACAGACTGATATGTGAAGCAAAACAATTCCTAAATAAAAATACAAATATATGTACCCTAACAGCAGATAAATGTAATAAAACAGCAATTATGCTTAAAAACGAATACCAAACAAAAATGTTAGCCTTACCAAATGACCATCAATACATATAAATAGGAAAAAAAGATTTAGCCAATAATATACAAACAAAACTAAGTAAAATAATAMATTTTYGGTTTAAACATAACTACATMAACTTCATAAAAACAACATACCATTACGACCAATCGTCAACAATATAGGTACACCAACGTACAACTTATGAAAGTTCCTATCCACAATTTTAASRAACGTCTTAGGACAGTCAGAATATATTATGGACTCTTGAATTTATTAAAACCCAAAAAATCACTGTTTAGTAKCGCTTGATGTAACATCATTATATGCCAATATCCCAATTGAATATACAATAGAGTGTATAAAAAACAAATGGAAGGAAATGGGACAACATTCAACAATTCCAGAAAATAATTTATTGAAGCGATAGAGCTATGCCTAAAATCTGCATATTTCAAGTTTGAAGAAAAATATTATTCACCAATATACGGTGTAGCAATGGGTTCGACCATATCAGCAACACTTGCAAACCTTGTCACGGAAAGCTTAGAAAAAAACATAATAACAAGTCTAACTTATAAACCGACTTTCTTTAAACGCTATGTGGACGATTGCTTAATGTGTTTACCCAAAGATAAAATTCAATATATGTACTAGATAAATTCTATACCCTAGATAAATTCAACAATTTTCACGACACTATAAAATTTACGATGGAAAGGTAGAAAAATCAATCARTAAATTTATCGGCATAAAATATCGCATTGTCGTAACTTTAACGAAAATATACTTTTCAGAAATTGAAGAGGCCCATGAAATCAGTCTCGATGAAACTGTAGGAGAAACGAAAAGCACAAAAGTGGAAAAGGCAAAGAAGAAAGCATCACTAAACGGTTTTAAGGCAAAAGGTGTAAATGGTCAACGTCAATTTAACAAAAAAATTGAAGATCAAGAGGAGCCAAGTAAAATATCTTGGGAGGATGTACCTAAGAAGACGAGTGTTAAATTGGGCAAAAAATTGAAGACCGTTTCCAAAAAGAAGAAAATTGGAAGCTTAAAATCAAACAAACCTGACAAGAAACATTTAAAACATAAAAATGTGAAGCTAGTTAAAAGACACAATAAATAAAACTAAAATATTTTTTCCTTGTTTTATTGAATTCCATTTTTTTTAGGTATTATGTAATAAAGAAGTTAAAAAAATCAATTATTATATAAAGAATTGAAGAAAAAAAAACTTGTATAAACATTTTCAAGAGCTACATCACAATCCTAAAAAATAATTGTACGTTAACAAATCTTTGGTACGATTTTGAGTAAAAGTTACACACCCTGCTTAATATTTAGTATCTTTTACTCGAATTACGTCACGATTGCCCAGCCATCGCCAAATTTAAACTTAATTTTGTTGGTTTAGTGACTAACTTCACCATGTTTTTCACATATCCTGTCCACAGATAACAGAGTAACCTCTGTGACAGAGTGGCCATTCGTACGGTAATTTGGTCGATTGTACGGTGTAGGGCCCTAACACGTTACCGTAAGCCAATTGTACGGTATTGTACACTTTTTTTGGTCACTGGGCCATGGCCTCATGAATGAATGAAATGAATCTAAGGACGGTACTACGGTTCAAATACGGTATTTTCAAATGGCTTGTACGGTAATCCGCGTTTGAGTGGTTGGCCACCCTGCTTTGTGACCTGTGATGTAATCCTGTTTTTGTTTTAAGGTTAGGACACAAAGGGCTTAGTTGTGAGGGTAGATACTTGTCTCTGGTGAGGGCATTCATGGCATTCAATTCAAATCTATTTAGAAATCAGGCTTCAAATAATGGTTATTAGTTGCGTTGCCTTTGGTTGTAGCGCTACGCAAAATCCATTTAAACCAATTTCCTTTCATAGGTAAACAAAGTTATTACCCATTTTGAAGAAAATTTCTTGTCGAAACGTCTTTGCAGTTTTGTGGGGTGTGCAAAATGATTATTATTTATAGGTTTCCCTTCAGTCGGCCCGAGGTTCTTAAGCATTGGATTGAGGCTGTTGGTAGAGAAAACTGGTATCCCTCAAAGTCGAGTAGGCTTTGTGGAGACCACTTTCTTCAAACCGATTATTATCAGATTCTAGATGAAAGTACACACAAACGATTAAAGCCTGGTGCGGTACCAAGTGTTTTTCCTGATCGATAACATTTGGGAAATAAATATTGTACAGTGTGGAACATTGCACACAGTTGAAAAATACAGAATAAAGATGAGTAGGTAGGAACATTAAAAATCAGTACACATTAAATATTTTTAGTGGAGATTTTATTTTTATTGCTTTGTAAAACAAAGGACACATTTTGAAAATGTTTTAATGCAGGTGATTAAATAAATGCCATTTAGCCAAAAAAAAATCATTAACTGTAGTATATTAGTAGACCTATTTCTTTTATTACGAGAATCAATAATAACTTATTAAGAAAGATAATTTTTACAATTTTCTCTAATAATTTAAGATATTTTAAGGAAGCTACAAAAACTACAATCTAAGACGGCATAAGAACCACAGTTAACAAATGTGTATATTATTCATTCATGTGTTCGCTCATTCACACTGAGCAATATGTGCATCAGGAAAGATGCCAGATTTGAAAATAATCCGTGAACAAGCAAAGGTAATCATTAAGAACCCAAATTCAAAACGCTGAAGCTTCGTAATTTTTGAGATTTCGGTAAACTGAATGAACTTCTATATGAATTTGAGACATTAATTTTTCCTGTAAAATAACCACTTTTTTGCTTATCATTTACAGACAAACTATACACAATCATAAAAAGTGCATGAAGCTATAAATTATCCTACGTTCCGTTTCCGTAAGAAGAACGAACTTTAAAGAAGCCTATCACGAAAATACTAAGTAACTAGTGAGGGTCCGGGTCACATTTATACTCAAAATCAAGGGTAAGAAAACTTTAGTTCGCAAATGAAACTTTACCTTGACTTGCCAATAATACCTAAAAATTAAATTATTCATGTTCTAAAAGCATTCATTGTTAAATTGAGACATTTTAAACAGTGACTTGGTGTAAGTGAATAAACAGTAGGAATTTTAGCAAAAGAAATAAACGGTATAGTAAGACATGAATACATGTATATTCTAAAGTTGCAAAGAAATATCAATTSGCGAGAAAAAACAATATTAGAACACTACGTAGTAAAAACGTTTCGCAAAAAAAGATCAATGTAGGGAAAGTACATAAATAAGATACATATATATAGTCAATGTAGGGAAAGTACATATAATAAGTACATAAATAAAATAAATACTTCAAGGCTGCAATAAAAWYCGTGTAAGTAGTACATTAAAATATTCAACAAATTTACCTAGCAGTAGAGAAAAAGTCACTTTCGTTACCAATAAGCCKCTATTTGAATGCCCGCCACATAAATTTAGCAAGAACCGCAAAACTCCGCAGAGCCTTTTTACAAAATGATATAAGCTGCACATCCGAGCAGCATAAATATTGCAAAATGGAAATAGCAACCCTGATTGCCATCCACTTTTGCGAAATAATTTGCCGTCCGCGTCCAGACGGCTAAATTTCCCTAAAAGTCAGACTTCTCAAAAAACTCAAAGCCATTTAGTGTCTTAGATTTAGAAGAAAAGCCGCAAGTCTGGTTATAATCTTGATCTGAACGACATATCGCCTGAAGGGCTCTGGGCGGCGAAAAACTGTTATAGTCAGACGGATTCTGACCGCTGAAATTTCCTATCACTAACGATTTGGAAAATATTTTTTGGAGTGCTAAATTTGAAAAAGTCTCGGAAAATCTAATTGAGCAGACCAGACAGTCTCTGGGTGCTATCTGTTATACCATCACAACGCAATAATCAAGTTTCACTTACCTTTAGGCATTTTGGTCTGGATTCTGAGCTATTATTTTAATTGATGATTTTAATTATGAGAGTTCATKTAAAATCCTATAGAAAACMTCATACTTTAAATTATSAAGTTTGAACTKAAATTAATTTTAATAATTTAAAAACCACACTCCAGAATCCAGAAACTCCCTCGTCGCACCCAGTCGAATTAATGTTACATGCAACAATATCATAAAATACAAGCCTATATGAGACGAAGAGTGATCTACATRCCAACCAGAGGCAAAGTAATGCCAAACTTACCGAAAGCCGCATCGTACCACCTGSAAAGAAAAATAGCAKTCTTTATTATAACAGAAAGAAGCCCAATTATGTAAAATCAGTAAACGAAGRAATGAAAAGGAAATAGAGAAAGCCATTGAATTTTAGCTAAGCTAAGGGTTTCGTAGGTAGATATKCTTCTTACCACCTTTCCCCAAGCTGTCCCCATCCTCCATTTTTTATCAATTATCCAATCTCCAAAAAGCACAACTACACTTGAACACACAAACAAGATGCACTCGAAATTAAAAACGTTCATCCTATAGTTATTAACTGGATGATTAATCTGCCTCACTTATTTTAATTGCCAGCACCAAAATCTTCTAACAAGACACGAAGAAAGGACGACTTATTTCATTCGTTGCTCGTATCAAACTGAATATTTAGCCAGCTTTTCGACAAAACTCATGCGATATTGAGGTTTTTTCACATTGCGAACGTCCCGAGCTACAGAACTACCATAATGATATAATCGTTTGCTCGATCGTCTCTTCGATTAGTCATTGCTTTCCTTGGCTGTTCGGTAATAAGTTTTTTTTTGTTGACTATGTTGTAGAAAATTTCAGTTTATACTGAATCAATTTCAAAGACCCGTTTTGCATTCTAACTTGTTTGGATTAACATAAACAAAACAGATTTCTTAGCCAAAGATAAACAAATCCTATCATGGATTTTTTATGCTAAATTGAATGGTAGTTCTCAGCTCAGTCTTTTGCTCGATTTGTACGAAACTTTCAGCCTGTGTAGAGACTGTCCACATAGTAGATCCACATTCAAACCATGCAATGAGCGACAGAATACTTGACTTAATTTTCACACGAGCTCTCGGATTAGCCTTTTGCTCAATTTTCCTAAAATTTCGAGTTGGTAGAACTTGATATGATATGCTAAGGCGTCCTAAAAGGCAGATCCACATTCAAACCGGGTCATGATTTGTGAATGAGTTTCTCTTCTCGCATCATTAAAAGCGACAGAATAGTTATATGTTTTTAACAGCTTTCGCATGACTAGCATTATCTAATCATTTATACCTAGTGTTTCAGTCAACACATCATTTCTGCGAAAGTTTCTCTTTGCTTTCATAGTGCCGGTATTAGTCATTATAGGAGTTTGGATCTTGCTCAACTTCAGCAAGTTGTAGATCAGAATTTATCGTTTGATTAATTTGATTAATTATAGCAAAAACCTTGCATTCAAATTTATTGTTGGGACAGGTACATGGGTGTCGGAGCATTCTAGAATTCACCATTGTCAGGAATCAGCCCTCCACCCCTGTCGAGTCAAATGTTTTTTAAAAATTCCGTTAGTGGGTCAGTAAACCGAGAAATCGGGTCAGAAAAAGGGTTCATTCATAAGACCCATATGCGCACAGTGTTCAGGTTCTTGTGTAATTACCACACCCTTTTTGGCGATTTTTTATAGGCAGTTGTCGGAGTGTTTTGGTCAGCTTATTAAAGTAGTTAGCAATTTTGGCTTTATTTCGAACCTGGTTGTGGAGTTAAGACGCTCAGTTTTATTGGATACAACATGGGCTTTGGAAAAAAGGCAAAACACCCTTTGAATAAATCGTAGTTTTATTAAAATCTGACCTTACATGCGCCTTTCAATAGCCACATATTGGCTGTCTTAGCAAGCAGTTTTTAATTAGAATTAGATTTAATTATGATAGGTAGTACAGTGTAAATAAATTAAATTAATTTCCAAAAATAAAAACGTTTTATACAGTATGGTGGAAATGGAATAATTTCTTCATCAGATTTATTTAATGTAGTATTATTAAGCTTTTAATGATTGAAGAGCAAATATATGTATAAGCAACCAAATAGCTAAACTGAGCTTTGCTGTAAATATTTTATTTCTTAAAAAATCCTTTTGTCAATTTTGTTAGTGAAAATTGGAAGAAATTCCACTAAGGAAGTAAAACCATCCAAATTTAATATATTGGTAAAACTCTTTTCGTGTAAGAAAATCCGAAGAAAATAATGCCAATCCGTCCAGCAGATTCTGTTGCCCATTTTTCTGTTCCCTTTGCTTAGTATATTCAATATAACTTCATTCACTAGTTAAGCATCTTTGCTTAGTGCCTGCATAAGTAATCAACTATAATTAGTTGAATTTAGTCGAGTTTTCGAAAGTTGTTGCGATATTTGCTTAATTTATATATCCCTGGCAACATAGCCTAGCTGGTGGAGCCAATAACAAGAGAGAAGAAGAATTTATATCTCCTGTACTCAATCAACTGTATACCATGATACAATCACAGAACATACCCCCTATTTTTTTGTGGGGGGATATTTCGTGGATACAATGAATACAAGTAGGATATTAATCGGTCCAAAACTCGATTTTCGTGCGCACATGACGTCGCTGGTTACCACTTCGGTAAAGTGAACAGCTGATCCCATTTAAAATGCATGTAGCCTAGATAAATTTTCACTGAATTCAAAACGCAATAGTTCAAAAATGGAAAGTTATATGTGGATATGGTTTGCAGCATTGCATAGCCGAATGCTTTGAACATTTTTGATCGTTTGGGACCTGATTTAGGCTTATTGGGAAGAAAAATACCCTAAAAAATTCTTTACAAAATCTCTGATTTTCAGCGTTTTAGCGTGCTGTGTGGCCAGTCAAGTCTAAAATCTGCTGCAAAGCATCTTGTAATTATAAGAAGGATTTATAAAAAAATAATTAAATGTGACAAAGACTAAATAAGCTATATTTAATCACATTTAGCAGACAGGAAAAAAGCGATTTCTACTGACGTCACGTAAATCGACAGCAAGATCCTACCTTGTATTCATTGTATCATGGGCCAAGGTATTTGGTCTCTGGTACTTGTATACAGTTCATTGACTGTACTGTCCTGTAATCAATAGTTTGATAATCTGTGCATGCAGTCTCGTCTCATCTTTATCTATGCATGTAGTTTTAAGAATTTGTCATTTGTCAGTTATTAAAATAGGTTAAGTTATTTTTCAAAACAAAAAATAATCGAGGCGAATAAATAAAGTGCAATTAAATCAGCATTTTTCAACATTTGGTTCCGATTTATATGATCATGTCAATACCCAACAGATCTAACGATATGCCGTCTAATGCGGAGGACGATGAGCTCACTTTACCCCGTGCTAGTATTAACAAAATGATTAAAGAATTGGTACCATCTGTGCGAATAGCAAATGAAGCCCGGGAACTCGTATTAAATTGTTGTACAGAGTTTATTCATTTAGTTAGTTCAGAGGCAAATGAAATTTGTAATCAACTCAACAAGAAAACCATAAATGCTGAACATGTGCTAATGGGTATGTAGTTTGTGAGTAGTATTTAATTTAGTATAAAGCATCGGTTGCTAAAGTGTGCCGGTAGCGACTACCTTTTCTGTTAGTCGTAGGAAAAACTATCGACACTGTATGAATATTTATTGACACAAACTTTCAAAATTCATAATTGCATAAGGTCAACACATGAAAACAGACAATCTAATGTTAGGCGCAAAATATTTCAATTCAGCAAGGCGACGAATTAAGAAAAAACTAGATGAACGTAAGAAAAATGTACAAATATTGGTAGATTGTTACAAATTGCTCGAAACATGTCAAGAATTAGAACAACACAAAGAAAAACATTGGTATCACAATACACAATCGACGAAAACGGTAAAAAAACTACACAGATAAGGATAAAGCGACACGTTTGCCAGACATTTTCAAAGGTCCTTTACAACTTCCACGAACCCGCAGTTTGACGACCCAACCTGGGACAGAGTTAATGAGTCCCTAAACACCCCCATAGGAATGACGCCAATTTTTAATCACCCTATATATATATTTCAATTCAAAATGATTACATGCTAGTTAGACACGATTGTGTCCCATAATAAAACGCAAGCAAACACCTTGTTCCACTAGAGAGTTTCCCAAATTCTTCCTATACTGGAACACTTCGCAAACCCAGAAATTTTAACGGAACACTCTTTATTTTTAAGTTGGTTTCTACTGAACTTTTTGATTATTATTAATGATTCAAGCTTTCCGTCGCCCGCGGCTGGATATTTACCGCCTATTCCAATTACGCCAATAAAATCACATAATTAGTTACGAACAATCATCACTGACTTATAGATTTGTTAAAAAAATACATTATCGGTTAACCTCCATTTTAAACAAGTGCACATAGAACTTTTATTTCATCATAATGTTCAAAATTCAGGAAACAACCGCAAATCTTCAGAAACTGTTGGCTTTTTTCAGTACAACCGGTATGCCATTTTTTCTCAAACTTTTAACACCATTCGAAAATTCTAATTATAGACGAAGCATGTGGTTTGAATTAGCTTTCAAAAGTTTTGATCAGTTGAATATTTAATCAGTTTCAGCTACAATCGAAAGTACGAGGGTCGTTTGATAAGTCAGTGACTTTTTGAATGAACATAATCTCCTTTTAGCTTGATACACTTAGTCCAGCGTCTTTCCAATTTTTTATTCCCTCTCTTCCAAATAATATAATTTCTCGGGGTCCTCAAAATATGCGGTTTTTTCAATGATGGCCTCTTCATCGGTCACGGACGGACGGTCATCTCTTTTCAATAACACGTTAAACACGAACTAAATGACGCAACGTGTTCAAAATTTCACAGCAGTCTACTAACAGACGGCAGTTTACGGGAGTAGTGTTAGTAAGTAAAATTAGTGCGCGGGAAATTCAAAAAGTCACTAACTTATCAAATGACCCTTGTAGTAAGTACTCTCTTAAACATTTTTTTTAGTCAGTCTCATTGACTTTAGCCTGGTCTAAAAAAATCAACAACTTTAGCTAATTGCTTCCTGCAGTTGCTTCAGAAGCCTTGAACTGTTAGTAGAATTACCTCTCAATACATTATTATTAGAACCCCTGTGAAGGTCCATTTAGATGTTCTCAATTGTATTTGAAGCTCTAGATAAATTGGGCTTTGGAGATTACCATGCAGAAGCTGAAGCTGTACTGAAAGATTGTAAGGCTGTAGCAGCTAAACGGCGACGACAAAGCACCCGCTTAGAAAATCTTGGTATTCCCGAAGAAGAATTGCTTCGACAACAGCAGGAACTGTTTGCAAAAGCACGTCAAGAGCAGGCGTATGCAGATCAGCAGCAGTGGGAACAACTTCAAGCTGCTGCACAACAGGCACAAGCTCTGGCCATGTCAACAAACAGTGACGATCAAGAGGACTACTCATAATTTTTTTCATTTGTTTTTATCATTCAAATTTAGCAAAGAATCTCACCAAAAGCGCATTTCTGGTTTACTTTGTTAATATAATATATTGTTTTTTTTACAAACTTGACGTTTTTTTTTTAAGTTAAAGTAATTTTTCAAATTAATTTCTTTACTAATTGGAATTTTCTCTTACAGCTTGAGCCTAAGTGTGTCGCAGGATACCCTCTAGGTGATGGTTCTTAATTACTTTTTGATGAATAATTCGTTCTTTTTGCGAAATAGGAGCACTATTTATCAATCTGTAATAAAAGACGTGAGGAAATTCTGACAAAAATTTTTGAGGCGAAATACCCAACAAGAAGTTTGTAAAAAAAAATGAATGCGCCTCAGCAATATAGAACTTATCTATAATATATTGTATCAAGTAATATTTAAATAAAATCAAACTCCTCAAGCTGTATAATTATTTTCCATTTTTGTTGGACTGTAATAACACTTCAGTTGCTTTTTACATTTAAGTTTTTCTGTAATATGTGAAATCAGAGTGCTTCTTTTCTAAATTGAACGGGTGCTTTTTGCACATTTTAAGCGGAGTCTTAATTTTTAAATAGAACTGTGTTCTATTCATTGAAGGAATATATTATCAATAAAACCATGAAAATGTATAAACATAATGAACTTGAAAAGGAGCGCATGGTGAGAAACAAAGTAACGAACAGTTGTAGATTTAAACTTCTATAATTAGATGATGATTCTAGAGAACTAGTGCCTTGTTATCTTTTCTTCGTTTCCTAGATATCCAAGTTCAGGTTGTTCTGGAAGCATCATTATTAGAATACAAATTAGGACAATCTCAAACGGTACAGTTGAGTCCTAATAATTTATTGTCATAGAGACAAAGCAATATAAACATGTGACAAAATATCATTAACAATATCGTCGTGTTGACTCAATTTAACCTATTTGAAACAATTTCTCTTAAATTTGTCTATTAGCAAACTATACCAGATTATATCGCGTTTTTGGTGAGACACCCTGTATATGCAGACGATTGTAAACATAGTTACTGAAAGTATTATGTAGATTCATAATAATCAATATTGTCTATGGAAATAAAAATTGATTTAATTTATTGAAGTAGTCGATATTATTTCGACTTATTTAGATTGAACTTTATGTATTTATATCACTTTTTGTATATTGCTTTCTATAAATTTTATTAGCCACTGAGACAAGTCTCTGATTAGCCACTTGTAAATGTAAATTTGTGAATAAAATATATTTTTTTATAAATCGGTCATATTTCTTTGTGTTAACTTTGTGTCCATTTGATCGTTTTAATTGATGAAACTTTAATTTAGTACCTTTAGTATAAGAGCGATTTCGAGGTTTTTATTTTTCTATAAATTTCTGTAAAATTTCAGTTGCGCTCGACAGATACTGAACGATA